GTTTTTTTTTTGGTTTTTTGTTAGTTTTTTTTGTTTGTTTTTATTTTATTATTATAAATTCGTCAAAGAAATCCTCTTTACATAAGAACAACTATGTCATATAAGAATAGGGGATATATTAACAAGAGCTCTAGAGTAAAGCATTAGACCCATAGGCATTATGCGTGGAGTTCGACATACAAATGCATATTTGAATTCAATATTAGATCATTTTTATTTAATTCATTTATATTTTGTTTTCACTAATAAATTTATATTTTATTTTATTTCGTTTTTATTTTTATATTATTTTGATATTAATTTTTGATTATATTTCGTTTTTATATTATTTTATTATTACTTTATTTTTATTTTATTCTTATTTTGATGTAATAATGTAATGATGTAATAACATCATTTTTATTTTATTTTATTTTTATTTTATTTTTATTTTATTATTACATCATTTTTATTTTAATTTTATTTTTATTTTATTAATATTTCATTTTAATTTTATTTTTACGTTGTCTTATAATTTTTTAATTTATTTTTTATTTCATTTTTATATGTTTTTTCATTTTGTTTATTTTATTTTATATTTTTCTATTTTGATTTATGCTTGTACTTTTATTATACTTTAATTAAGTTAAATAATTAAAATAATTATTAAATAATAATTAAAATTTTATTTTGAATTTATTTTATTATATTTTTATTACATTTTTATAACTTCTGTTATATTTCTGTAATTTAAATTTAATTGCATCTGAAAACTTTCATTTAATTTTTTTTACAAAAAATATAATTGACTTCATCAAAGTTCTTATATGAAAAGCACAAATAGTAATTACATTCATATCTTTATTAAACTTAAAAAAGAAGAAAAAAAACGTTTTTATTTCATTGCATTGATATCTTTTAATATCTTTATATATTTATATAATTGTGTCTAAACATAGTACAAATATACTTCCTGCATACTCGTACTCGGTCTGTAGTATCTACGAAATATATAATAAAACTCACATTACTTTAGAATGTATTTATGTTGGTGACACTTGTTTTTTATTCGATAAAATTGTGAATATATATAGAGGTATAGAGGCGTGCGATGAGAGTATTTCGGAAAGGTGGTTTCGCTTTGGTTTGGAATGGTATTGTTTTACACAATGCGACCATGCGACATAGTCAGCAAATACGGTTTGTTTATACGCATCGTCAAGATATAAAATGATGTATGTGCGCCGTTGTGTATTTATTAGCTTGAAACCATTTTAATATGAAAATATTGTTGTTTATTTATGTCTTCTGGAGACTGAATATGTATGTATGCAAGCTAATATCTAATGAAATTTAACACTTTCATCAAGTGCTATGTGTGAATGGTAAACGCGTGACTTGAAAAAACCTGCTTTTAGATTTAGTTTGGATTTTTATGATTTATTTCCACTTGAGTAGTTCAAGTTACACACTTAATGAAAACAAAAAAAAAAAACAAAAAAAAACAATTATGTTTAGCTAAAAAATGTAATAAATTGCATTTTCCAGATTCATTTTTCTATATATATAAGTCTATGTTTGTGTATTTATCAATTGCTATATTTGATATCTGCAGCTGGAAATTGTCATAAAACGCTGGCAAATGGCACCCACTGCTATATCATTTCATTTTCTAATATTTGCAGACTTGCATTTACTATAAATTAAATTGAATTCAATTGACGACGATGTGTAAATTGCTTTAATTTTTTTTGATTAATTCTATGAAAGTTTTATGTTTGTTTTGTTGAGTGCATTAAACTTAATCAAGTGTTTGCTTAGTCGGAATTTTTCATATTTCAAACAATCCTCACACTTTTCGTATTTTACAGAATTTGCATTTTGATTAATTCTCTTATTTTATGATCTATAAGTTCGCAGTAAATCGAAGCTCATGCATCAATGTTATTACGTCTGCTTTCTGCGGTTTATATTATATTATATTATAAGTCATAATATTAGATAGTATTTTATTACTTCATTCAATTGATTTTTAATTTCTGTTTTTCATTGATATATTTATGAATCATAAAATATAATTAAAAGTAATTTGCCTTTGAAGGTGGGTACGTTAAAAGTATCTTTTTTACTAAAATTTAATCTCTTGTAAGGTAATACTCGTCTTGGGGGAAAAACATATGTTCTGAAGCAAGGTCATAAAAAATATTGACTCATATTTAATCAACAAATAATAGTATTTGTTTTTTTTCTTATTTGTTTTCTTTAAGGAAACATACATTGTGACCGAAAAGTTTTCGGAAATTCTCATTTAAAATTCGCGCGCTGTATATTTTTCGATATTTTAAGTTTATGTAGTTTGGCAGCACTATCCTTAATTACTATGCCAAAAATGAGCGCGATCTGTCAGACAGTTCGTTTACGACAGCTGTTGAAACCAGTTCACCTCAGTAGTGCGTTGCGAAAAAAACAATGGAAAAAAATATTGAACAAAGAGTTTGCATCAAATTTTGTGTTTCGAACGAAATTTCGTGTGCAGAATCGTTGCGAATGCTACAAAAGGCTTATGGGAAATCAGTTTTATCGAAAACTCAAGTTTATGAGTGGTACAAAGCCTTTCAGGACGGTCGTACGACCGTCGAAGACATGCCGAAAAACCACGCCAAGTCCCTCGAAAATCAAGGCAATGCTGATTGTTTTCTTCGATATTCGTGGTGTGGTGCATCATGAATTCGTCCCTGAAGGACAAACAGTCAATAAAGCCTATTATTTGACTGTTTTAAGACGTTTGCGTGAAAATATCCGCCGTAAACGGCCTCAATTGTGGAAGGATAATTCATGGATTTTTCATGACGATAATGCTCCCTCGCACCGAGCCAACATTATCAACGATTTTAAGGCCAAACATTCAATAAATACCATCGAACAGCCCCCGTATTCACCTGATCTTGCACCGTGTGACTTTTTCCTGTTTCCCAAACTCAAATTACCACTCAGAGGAACGCGTTTTGAATCCATAGAAGACGTAAAACAGAATTCGCAGAGGAAACTCAAAGCCATACCGGAAAGCGCCTATAAAAAATGTTTTGATGATTGGAAGAAACGTTGGCATTTGTGTATCGCTTCTAATGGAGCATATTTTGAAGGAGATAAAATAAATATTGATGAAGATTAAGAATTTTGCGTTTTATTTAAAATTTCCGGAACCTTTTCGGTCACAATGTATGTTTCCTGAAAACAAGTTCCAATTAACGATAACAATTAAAGGTAATATTTGAACAAATTGAGAAAAAAGTACAAAAATACTAGATAATGTATACTAACAATGGTTATTTAAAAACTTAATGAAATAAAATATGCATTTGGGAATAATATCGAAATGGAGCAAAGAATTGCGACCGTAGTAGATACGTTGTGGCATTAGAAACCCAAATAATTTTGGTTAGAATTATTAAAATTAAAATAATATTTAGTATTTATATGTGTAAATGATATCAATTAACAAGTTTTAATTGTCTTGCTAATTCATTTAATATACTTTTTTATTTGGAATATTTTCAGAAATTTTGCTTATGTGGTTTATATTCTTACGAATTAAAAACATTTGAATATCATCGTTTCAGATGACAAATATTTCTTCGGAATAATAAATGTTTTCATTATTCACACAAAAAAGTGATGTGTAATCATTATTTTGTTACGATTTCTCCAATATTTAAAATAATTATACAGAAGTATTTTATAGAACCTTTTAAGCCTAAAAGTTATTTCTGCAACACTGGGATTGTTTTTATTTATTTGTTTAATATATGCTGTCTATCTAGATCTTATTTGTTTAATATATGCTGTCTATCTAGATTTTATTTGTTTAATATATGCTGTCTATCTAGATCTTATTTGTTTAATATATGCTGTCTATCTAGATCTTATGAGATTTCCTTCCATCATTAATTTTAGTTTGGATAATAATCAAAAGTAGAAGAACATTATTCAAAATTCAAATCAGGTGATATTTGATGGATGATTTATTTGTTGGTCAAGAAGTTACATGCAATGATTCCTTCACGCGATAGTGCATTATAGTGCCACAAAA